AATAGCAATAGTTGCGGTTTGGTTAAGAACTCCATTGGTCCAGATCTCACTACTTTAGATCTAACATTTTCTCCCACTGAATGACTTTTCAATTAAATGAATCGTGTTCTTACATGTGTGTGTCATGTGACCTGAGCCCCTGTGCTGCTGTACTGCAGGAGGTTATGATAGGGGTGAGTGGGGTTAGATGGGGTGAGTGTAACTCGACTCCGTTAGCCCTGACACGCACAGCTCGTCCTATAAACACGCCTTTCTTTTATCCTTCAACTTGATTCTCTCCTGCCTCCTTTTTTTCCTCTTCCTCTCAGCAGGTCAGTGAGCGTACAGTACTATATCTCTCGCACATGCTCAGTAGGGCCGTGTCACACCTTTCACAGAACATTCTCACCCACACGCCCTTCAACATGCACAGACCCGCATAAAACACACATTTTTATTGCTTACCTTCACAGTTGTATCTGACTTCCTTCAAATGTTTGATTGTGCTGACACATATTAAGTGTGTCAGTGCAGGAATGTTCATGAAAGAGCATTTTATTTTAATTATATATATATATATATATGTCATTATCTAAATGTGCAGAAAACAAACTGTAATGATTAAATAAAGCATTATTAAATTATTCATTAAATAAAATATAATTTTTAATATATAGTTAATTAAACTAATATATACTTAATTAAAATATAATTTTTATACAATTTTTTACATATAATTAATTAAAATATATAATTAATTAAAATAATATAAAATTAATTTAAAAATATTTTTGGTGATGTTTATTAGTGGATCATTGTCTAAAGATGTGGAAAACAAATTGTATAATAATTAAAAGCATTAATAAATTATTTATTAAATAAAGTAATTTTTTTAAGCATTTTTGTAGCATTTTAAACCTGATTTGTGGATTGTTGTCTAAATGTGTGAAAAACAAATTGTAATGATTAAATAAAAGCATTATAAAATGGTTTATTATATAAACTAGTATAATGAAATTGTAATAATTAAAAGCATTATTAAAAGATTTATTAAATAAAATAATATAATGAAATTATGTATAATTATTATAATGAATTTGTATAATAACAGTAGTTGCACATTAAAGGGCTCATTTGATGCGATTTCAATTTTTCTATTGAAATTTTTCTATCTTTATAAGATATATTGAATAGCCTAATTTTCTTAAATTAATTTAAATTTTCTTATTTTATTAAAAAAACTTTGGGCTGAAATGAAGTGACATTACACAGCATTTTAATTTGACGGTTTACTTGTTTTTTTAAATTAAATGTTATAATCATAACTAAAAACTTCTCATTGTTTATAATATTTTTGGATGTTTCCGGTAAAATGAGACTTACACCAGAAAAAAAAAATACTTATAATAGCAACAGATGCTGAATAAGTATTGGTAAACAACATTTGGCAGGGTTTAGCAAGGGTCTGATAAATTAGGAAACTATCATTTTTGAGTCTTTGTCACTCTTATTTCATTTGTATGAATCAAATTTGCAGAAATGCAGAAGGAACTAAAGACAAAGAGTTTTGAGAGAGTCTGCATCTTCTCATAGTCCAGTGTTGTTTCACAGAGGCCAGCTTCACTAATGTCTTAAACAGATGGTAGAAACTTCAGCTCACAGAATACCAGCCAGACACTCTTTGATTGGCCGGCTCACGGCCGAGTATGTGTGCCTTTTATTTATTTTCTACATGCTGCATAGATAGGAGCTCAAACTCACGTCACACTTCTAGAAGGTTCTGCTGTCTGCTTTAGCCTCTGTCTCTGTGGTATATCGCTGACCAGTTTTACAAAGTGAATACAGTTGGAATTAGTTCGTATTAGACATGAAAGGCTAAAAATAACTTAATTCTCTAACATGTTATTTTGAGTGCATATGTTACCAAACTGCTAATGTGTTGTGTAAATGTGATTGTTGGACAGGTGTTTACTCAAATCAAGACTTGTAATAGATCATTTATTATTTGTGTTGGGAAGACCTCATTAATAGTATTTGCAGCTGGTGGAGATCTTCATGTTTTACATCATCAGTGACCAGGATGAACTGATGACGCCTGTCAGCGTATGATTGTGGAGGAAGACAAACCCAGAGAGGGTTTAACATTTAGGGTTGTGTTTGTGTGTGTGATAGTGCTGAGGGACATCTGACTCCCTGCTATTTTCCTCTCTGACCTCTCGCTCACAATGTTTGTCTAACAGGTCCTAGCTGAATTGTAATGTACATATACACTATAATTCAAAGGTTTGGGTCCTTTGTGTGTATGTGTGTGTGTGTTGTTTGTTTTTTGTTTTGTTTGTTTAAAGAAGTTAATACAGAGTTCTGGCATGAAACTCTAGATGGCGCAACTCAATCTGACCTAATGACATCATTATCACATGGCACAGCTGATTGGTTCTCTCCTGTATCGGTAGCCAATGAGCTCGCTGCTCAACATTCAAATATATGACTAGTGATTGCCGTAGTAGTTGCAGCTTGCTTGTACATATTCACAGCAGCATGTTGTGGATGTATTGGCAGTAGCAAGTCTCGGTACTTGCTCTGCCGCAGCAGCAGCAGCAGCAGCGTAGCAGTTCTATTCCGCCAAGACCAAATACATTAACATAGTCATGTACATTACCATCCCAATCCCTCCGAGAGTCGTCATGACAGAAATACTTTTATTTAGCAAGAACACATTCAGTTGATCAAAAGTGACAGTAAAGACATTTATAATGGTACAAAAGATTTTTTTTGCTTTCTATTCATCAAGGAATCCTTAAAAAAAATCACAAAAATAGTCGGCAGCACAACTGTTAATGATGCTGAAAATTCAGCTTTGCGTCACAGGAATAAATTACATTTTAAAATATATAACAATAGAAAAGAGTTATGTTAAATTGTAATAATATTTCACAATATTACTGTATTTTTATCAAGTAAATGGAGCCTTGGTGAGCAAAGAGATTTTCAAAAACATGATCAAATCTTACTGACCCCAAACGTTTGAAAGACACTTTATATTTTTTATTTTATTGTCTATTGAACCATGTATCTACTTCTGGTATCATAACTGTAAATAAATTAATTTTATTAATTAATACAAAAAACAACTTTGCAGTCATTTTACAAGAATTAATAAAAAATGCTGTATTCAGAACTTTAGTGCAAAATTAATACACGCTATAGTTTTTTTTCCCTGCTGTAACAAAAATTTGAAGCAAAAGTACATAAATAAATATACTTGTGCTGTATTATGGGATGCCACAAATAAAATATTATTTATTTTAATAGTTTAAAAATAATTTAATAATATTTAATTCACAGAATGTAATTATAAATGATAAAATAATTATTTTAAATATATTATTGGAGTTATAAATGTAAGTAGTTTTGTGTTTGTTTTTTTAGTTTATGCAAACCAAGTTCCAGTTAACTGCATTCCCTTCTAGCAATTGTAAGTGCTTTGCATAAAAGCATGTTTTGGCATTGTGAGTTTAGGAGAGAAGTCGATTCACTTTCCAGAAACATTTTAGCCCTGTGTAGTCATCCAAATCCATCCACTGATCACAACTGCATAACACTCTCCTAAAGTGCTGGTTGCTGAGATAATTGAACATTTAACCACAGAAATTGGCAAAAAGGCTTTATTTTGGTCACAGCAGACAGACATGACGACAGGCGTCAGATGAGAGCAGGTTAATGAGCGGCTGTGTTGGAAAGGCCGATGTCCTGACATACTCGCCTACGCAGCCCAGATAAAGATACTCATCATCTGAGTGTGTGTGGATGGGGGGGCACACGGGTTACTGTACATCCATAAACACTTCAGATGAATTTCTCTCGCACTGATGTGACTCGTTAATCGATACTCAGCTAATCAGTTGAGTGACAGCCTGTCAGGGCCGATTCCACATGGGCTGAAAGCAGCTTCAGGGTTGCGGTCAGATGCATTAGAGCAGAGGGCTGTCCCGTGCACTCAATACTGTCAGCAGGAATGAGAACAGGGTGTTCCCTCTGTCTACTGTTAAACAGAGAGAATGAACCAGAACAGGAGATGCCAGTTGCATGCCATTTACTATTCAGTGTTAATGCAATTACTTTTCAAATGCAAACATTGTCTGATTGGTATACACCCATGCTAGGTGTTTATTTTGAGTTGTGTTACTGTACCTTTCTACAGTGTGTTTTGCTGGGTACTTAAAAAAAAATAGATACATTTTTGTGAAAAGTATGTCTAATTTGCAATAAAACAGGGATAAAGTTTCAAAAATATTTGCTCAGTGGGTTTTGAGTCAGTGTTATTTCAACATCAAGATACTATTATAATTTTTATAAAAAATTTAATTCGTTTTTACATTTTCTGTTTTCATTTGAATTTTTGTTGAAGTTTTGGTTATTCTACTGTGTTTTTGTCATTTTTTAATATTCTTAATATGTCTATTTTTATTTTTTTTTCAGTACATCAAGTTAAACTATATGTTGACTTATTTTATTTCAGTTAAAGTTTGTTATTTCAAGTAACATTTTTTTTATGGTTTTAGTTTTAGTTAACTTTAATAGTCCTGTTTTGAGTAAGTCAGACGAACATATTTTAAGGAATTTAGGGGAAAATAGAGGTAAATGGTTAGTCCACCCACAAAATGAATATTCTTACTTAATTCGCTCACCCTCGTATCTTTCACCCTCATGACTCATTTTGCCCAATAACTCATAAAAAAATAAAATAATAATAAACAAATAATATAAAAAGTTTTGAATATCAGTGATGATAGAATATTCATGCTTTTATTGTCATTCTTATATTTTTTTAATTAAATTTGTTTAATTTAATTGTTATGTTTTATGATTTTTTTATTACATTACAAATGATTATTTACTTTAATTAAATGATTACAATTTCTAATACTATTATGTAACATAAACATGAGGTTTAATATACATTTCCTCTTTCTTTTCTTCTTCTCCCTCTCCCTCACCCTCTCCCTCTTTGTCTCTCTCAGGGTCGTTGTTCCAGAGAGAACTGCAAGTACCTGCACCCTCCTCCTCACCTGAAGACGCAGCTGGAGATTAATGGCCGTAACAATCTGATCCAGCAGAAGAACATGGCAATGCTCGCCCAGCAGATGCAGCTAGCCAATGCCATCATGCCTGGAAGTCAGCTTCAGCCAATGGTGAGGCTCCATTCTTATGACCCCAAGAGAGATTAGGCCGTTTCCATACATAAGTATTTTCTGTAAATGTTAGTCTAATGTTTGTTAAAGTTTATTTATAGTTTGTCACTTTTATTAGTATATGCTAAATTAGGTTTTTATTATGATATATATATATATATATATATACAATGGCCCGAAAAAGTAGTTATATTAATATGTACTAATGCTATAATAATAATAATAATATGTTTAATTTATATAGTGCCTTTCCCAAGCTCAAGGACGCTTCATAATGACAGTAAGGAACAAACAATCATTTTACACATAATTACTTAATGGACAGTAGGCATTTGCCCAGTCCAAGACATGAGCGATTGCATCTGCATATAGCAATACAGTCAAAAAAACAAACAGAAACCATAACATTATATTACTGACAGCGTAGAAAGGTGCATATGACTAATGGTACTCAAGGAAGCATTATGACATATATAACAAATATATGACAAATATAAGGTAATATTTGAGTTTAGACTTATATTCATGCAGTGTGGTTAATGTCCTAAGGGCCAGGGGCAAAGAGTTCCATAGCTTAGGAGCTATAACGGAGAATGACCTGCCACCCATAGACGATAGATGAGATAAATGCATATACTAATTATTCAGCATCTTTTGGACTGACGTAAGAGTTTGGCAATTCGGCGAAGTTGAAAGAATGCAGCTATAAATGATTAACTATTGTAACCATGCACTTATTAAAAACAATGAAAAAATTATGCCATGTTTTTTGGGACAGTGCCATGATGATAATACCATGGTATATGAATATGGCAACAAATTCAATAATAACACTAAATCATGTACTGCCACGGTACTTTTTGAAAGTGTGGATATAATAATCAAACAGCAATGCTTATTTTTTTGACCCTTGACTATATCATTTGCATAAGTCACAGAAACAGAAAGTCGATTTATAGCAGTGTCACTCTATCAGTTTCATTTATTATTATTTTTGTCTGTTTCAGCCTATGTTTTCGGTCACGCCAAGCCTTGCAACCAACGCCAATGCAGCTGCTGCAGCAGCCGCCGCGGCTGCGTTTAATCCGTACCTGGGCCCAGTGTCACCTGGGCTGATGCCCGCAGAGATCCTGCCCAGCGCACCTGTGCTGATGGCGGGCAGCCCTGCGATGGCATCCATGCCGTCCGCTGCCAACGCCGCAGCTGCTGCTGCTTCAGCAGCGGCCGCCCAGAAACTCCTCAGAACAGACCGACTGGAGGTATGAGGTCATCAGAGAGCCATGACATCATGACACACTGCCAATGTCAATGTCAATATCTCTTTCTTTCCCACATAAACACATTTAAATCATAATCTCCGTATACATGCAGGTGTGTTACAGCCATACTGGGTAATGTGTTAGAAATAAAGGGGCTGCTGCCCTCTGCTGACCACTGGATGAAAAACCACATCTCCCCATCTGAGAAAGTTCTATAATACTGGCTATGTACTGAATTAAATAATGCTACAAACAGCACAGTGTGTACTACATACTGCCTTCTGTTTTGTTTTAAAGAAAATACTTATGTGCAAAAGTATGTAGTATGCACTAATAAGTGTTTTAAGCTGTAGTATGCTTAACTGCCACACCTGTTGGGAATAAATATGGGTTTATTTTTTATGTAATTAATCTAATAATCAAATAATAAGCCAAGAAGGGAAATGCAGTATAAATTAAGGCTGATATTACTTCTATCATCCCTCTGGAAATGTAAGGTTGTATGTTTTTTTAATATTATTATTCATCTAATTTATTATATACATACTGCATACTACTTTGTTTCAATAGAAGGATGCCATTCTGAACATAATTAAACTAAATTTTAGTTTCTTCATTAATGAAACTTTGGCTAATTAATGCACAATTCAGTAAAAGTTTGTTTTTACACGAACACAAAACTTTGCAGTCTCTCAACATGCAAAGCGATGCATTATATTTCTGTGTATTTTCAGGTGTGTCGTGAATACCAGCGTGGCAACTGCTCTCGTGGAGAGACGGACTGCAGGTTTGCCCACCCTGCCGACAGCACAATGATCGACCCCAGTGATAACACCGTGACGGTGTGTATGGATTTCATAAAGGGCCGCTGCTCCAGAGACAAGTGCAAATACTTCCACCCTCCTGCACACCTGCAGGCCAAGATCAAAGCGGCCCAGCACCAGGTCAATCAGGCCACGGCCGCCGCTACCATGGTGAGCACGTCCTCTACTGTACATCACACACACATTGTGATATAATGCTGTTCTCATGCATCATACTGTATGTGGAATTAACACTTTCTTAGATGGTATATACTTGATCTCGGGTTAACATTTACATTTATGTGCCATTTTTAAAAGATGCATTTAAAGGAATAGTTCACCCAAACATTTACTCACCCTCAGGCCATCCAAGATGAAGATAAGTTTGTTTTTTCATCAGAACAAATTTGGAGACATTTTATATTACATCACTTGCTCACCAATGGATCCTCTGCAGTGAATGGGTGCCGTCAGAATGAGAGTCCAAACAGCTGATAAAAACATCACAATAATCCACAAGTAATCCACACCACTCCAGTCCATCAATTAACGTCTTGTGAAGTGAAAAGCTGCATGTTTGTAAAGAAACAAAAACATCATTAAGATGTTTTAAATTCAAATCAAGTCCTCTATCCATTATGTTGCTTTCTCTAGTGAAAAAGTCATCAAATCTGAATCAGGAGAGAAATATGCACTGTTTACAAGCAAGAACAGTCCTAATCAGTTTTACACAAATATGTTGGTGGATTTTGATGTGAGAGGAGAACAGGGGATGGACTTTTTCATTGGAGGGAGCATTATTATGGATTATTATGAACTCGTATTTTGTCCAGAAGTGACTGTTTTTATCTGCTGTTTGGACTCTCATTCTGACGGCACCCATTCACTGCAGAGGATCCATTCTGTTCTGATGAAGAAACAAACTCATCTACATCTTGGTTGGCCTGCAGGTGAGCACATTTTCAGCAAATTTAAATTTTTGGTTGAACTATTCCTTTTTAAAAAAAACTAAATGTTTAAAAAAAAAAAAAAAAATCAGGAGTCTTTAAGGATTTATGACTACTTCATGTTGAATTTCTAGAAATTGTGTAGAAATAATGTAGAATTAACTTTCTTATATGGCTACATATTTGATCTCAGGTTATCATTGACATTTCAAGCAGTCTTTAACAATAATTAAGGATTTATGAAGGTTTCTTATGCATTACATTTTTGATAGAGCTCTGTATAAGATGTTATATACCTATAAGTAATTTCCATTACCATTTAAACTGCACAAATACGTAATTTCTTCATCTTGTCGAGAGCATTGGGCAGCGTCATATTTGTTTTTATGTAACATTTCTGCACAGTAATTGTATGTTTGTAATCCAGCGCAATGTTATCCACTGTTGACGTATTACAGCAATGTTTACTGTCAATGAAACCGTGTAAATGTTACCATAATTGATGTACTTGTTCATTTAATCTCAGTACAGAGTTTTCTAAAACAGAAAGGACTGTATTTATGCATGCCTTAGTCCTGATATCCCCTTATATACTGCATTCCAATGATTTGTTTTTATTTGTTTTTTTTCTCACCTACCCAAAATGCACTGCTGCCCCCATGATGCACCTCTGCTTGCTGTTTATGTTAATGCGCTTGAACCCCATTGGCCCATTGCCATCATGTGCTCGCTGCCTGCTAATTAAGACTCAGTCGGCTGTCAAATCACTGAAGCGACCCCTCGAAGCCACCTTTGACCTGGTACTATGACCTTTCACCTTTTTGCTTGGCATGTTGCTTTATTGTAGTGTCTTAACAACAGAAGAAAGATAATTTGCAAGCATAGTCCTTTTGTTATCTGTTTATTTAATGCCTCTGTTGTGTTCTATGTTACCATGTCGTGTGATCAGCTGACTGCGGCGAGCATATTGAGCAGCTGAGAAAAGAGATATGCAAGTCTGCCGCAATCAGATCATCACACGCGTGTTATTCCAGGGCATAAGGACAGGGCTAGATGTTCTAAACTTTAGTGACATGGCTTCTATATGTCTATACAGCATTTATGTTCAGTATGCATGTTTAGTATCTCTGTGTAGTGCATGTGTCTATGGGAGGGGTAGCAGCAGAATAATACTAAAGCTCCACCATTAAAGCAACAGAAAAGATCTAGTCTCTTTCTCACACTTATCATGGAGTGAGCAGTGCAGTTTATTTTCCTTTTTTTATTTTATTTTTTTTTTTTCGTCACTTTTGTCTGCAAAACATTTGAGTAGTGCTACGCTTGCTTCATTTGCATTGAGTTAGCAGTATGGATGTTGTAATGTTAGTGAATTAATACTCTCCTGATGTAAAACTAATAATGTATATCACAGATGCTGAGTGCTAATTTTAGTTTTATAGCGAGAGAAACTGGCTCTTTGGCTTTTGCTTGTGCCGTAGACATGTATTAGCTGCCGCTTGCTTGCTTGTTTGTCAGAATCGAGCCCTGTGATGTTTTGCCCTCTGATGATAATTCTATCTTTTTCTTGTTCCTTTCCTGTCTTTACTCTCTTGTACACATCCCAACCCGTTCCCCATTTCCTCCACCCCCCTTCCCTGTGGTCTTATCGGAGCAGGGAATTCCTCACAGTGTCATGCCACCTTTACCAAAGCGACCTGCTCTTGAGAAAGCCAACGGTGCCACGAACATGTTCAGTACTGGCATGCTCCAGTACCAGCAGGCTCTGGCCAACATGCATTTTCAGCAGCAAGCTGCCTTTATTCCGTCAGGTAGGGCTTCTCGTCAACCCTGACCACTCCTCGATCTCACCTTTGACCTTTCTAAACCATAAGGGATGCACAAAGACATGGGATATTTATTTATCATTATTATTGTTTTTTTAAGAGACAGGGTTCCCACTGCCATTTAAAAAAAAAAAAAAGGAAAATTGTATGTTAAATAGTAACAGAGAGTATTTTGCCTTTTGTTTAGTAACATACTATTGTAAAATATAATATGTATATAAGTATGTAGTATATATCATAGTATACATATATATATATACATATATATATATATATATATATATATCACTGTATATATATATATAGTATAATTTTATGCATAACATAGTATAGTATGGTATAATTTATTATAATAATTTTTTAATATAGTAGAAATATTATAATACTTTACAATAAAGTTACAATTTTATATAGTGTAATAATGTATAACATAATAAATATAAATATATACATAAATATAGTGTATAACATAGTATAGTTTGGTATAATTTCTTATAATAAGATAAATATTTATGTTTTAGAATTTAAATAGTATAAATATTATACCACTTTATATTCTATAAATATTATTTATATATAGATACACACACACTGTGTATATATACGGGTATATTATACATATATTGTAATAATAATATGCCCATCATTTTGCCATTATAATGATATAAATATTATAATATAGTATATATCATATAAATATAGTATAAGAGTGTAGTATGGTATAATATATTACAATAATATACATATTGTAATATTTAATAATATTATAATAAGTTATAATATTATTAAATATTACAATATGTATATTATTGTAATATATTATATTATAATAAAACTATAATAATCACATTAGATAGATATCTTCTAATTGGTATGTTTTGTCTGGTTCCATCAAATTACTAGGATATGCAGTGTTGTTTATACCCGGTGCAGGTAGTCACTCCATCAAAATGAATTCTAAAAATCTATATCCAGTAATCTCAAATTTCTGGAAAAGTCATAGAAAACCGTTTGGTCAGAAGGTGTGGGAACCTTGTAATATATGCACAGTAAACTGAGCAATAAGAAACGGGGGCTGTCTGTCAGTTTCTCTGTATCACCTCATCTTTGTATCACATTACTACTCTAGTACATACCTGTAGTTGAGCTCATGGCTTTCACTGCGAAATACAGTTGCCAATAACCCTGGGATGCCCCTCAGTCATACTAACGTCTGCTATGGTGACTGTCACACATACACACGTTTCTGTGAGCTCACAAATACATGTGCTCCCTTCCTGAGTTCACGTTTTAACTAATCGGTCTCTTATGGACATCATGCTGTATCACTGTAATGATTATTGTCTTCCTTTAATTATGATTTCTTCACTCTAACCAACCTTGTGATGGGCTGTTGTGATTCTTCTCCCTTTCCAATCCACTTCCTGTTGCAATGCATGATGGGCAGGCTCAATATTGTGCATGACCCCTGCAGCGAGCATGGGTAGGTTTCTAGACTTCCTCCTCTTAGTTGTTCTCACGCCCTCAAAATCCACATGGCCGACAAACTGGCATTGATAAGTGGGCATCTCTGTGAGCGCTTCACTTATGAAGCATCTGTGATTTAAAGTTAAAGTCAACATGAAACAGCATCTGCAACGCTGTTTAGTAATATGACATATGTCTAAGTGAAACAGAATATTCAAGAAGATATGTAAAGGAAGAACTTGATTTGACCTGAATGGTGGCAAGTTAGAGGAGGCGGCTGAAAAATAATCTTTGCATTAACATCCACCAATACGTGATGCAGAATTATATTATTGTATATTATTACATTTTGATTTCATGTTGACTTTAAATACACCCAAATATGGTTTCTTTCACTGTGAGTTGTAATTATACCGTTTTGTGCATCGTTTTGTGGCTTTTGAAAGAGATGGTTCACCAAAATATGAAAATTCTGTCATTTACTCACCTTCATGGAAGACAAAAGGAGAATTTTGGAGTAATCTTACTGTGCAAGTTTAAATATGCGGAATGGAGAATGAAATTTGAATGATTTTTAAAGAATAACAATCTAAAATTTATAAATACAATATATACATAATATTTGATCACTATTATATAATATTAAATATTGATCCATTTTTAATGATATGTATTATAATAATAATATATATAGTATAATTAGTATATATAGTATAATAATAGTATAATTTTAGTATGGTATAATTTATAATTATTTAAATAAGTACAATTTATACACAGTATATGCATTTTTTTATTAATGTACTATTGTAAAATATAATTAATATTTGGTCATTATTAATATAAAAATTTAATTAACAATTCTTTTATATGTGTGTGTGACAATGTTTTAACATCTTATTGTAATATTTATTATAGAAATTGTGTGTGTGTGTGTGTGTGTTTATACATATATATATATATATATATATAGATACAGTATATATATTATAATTATAATTATAGTGCATACAATACAAGTATATTTACACACACATACACACACACACACATACGTATATACAAACATGCATATAAGTATGGAATTTTAGAATAACCTGAAGGTGAATAATAATAATGCCCACATTTCCATTTTTGGGTGAACTATTCCTTTAACTCCTCACACTGAATTTAACACTTTGTCGTTGATACTCTTTTTCACTGCAGCTCAGATAATCAGTGTTGAGCATGATGTTCAAGTAACAGAAAATATGAGAAGGGTTAAATGTTAAAGTAGTACATGGAAGCTGAAACCTAAATGCAAAGTTTATGAGATGCCATGCCTTTGTTTCCTTCTCCTTGTAGCTCTTGATGTGTTGGCTCAAATGACACTTTACCTGCCCTTATGTCTTCTTTAGAACAATCTCTCTTGCCACCACTTTTGGTTTGCCGTTTGCTGATATCACCCTCAATGCTCACTTTTCTTTCCATACCCCTCTGTGTCCACTCACTCATCATGTTTGTGCACCTGTTGGCTACACTCCCTGTATGTGTGCTTATACCATTTTCCCTCTGAAAAGTTCCCATGATGCACGGCGCTTCCCCAGCCGCAGCAACCACAGCTGCCTCAAGTGTTCCCTTCGCATCTGCATCAGCCAATCAGGTTTGCTCTTTTATGGCCTATTCTCTCTCTCTCACACACACACACACACTCTCTGCCTTTCTCTTTCTGTCTGATGGATGTTTCTGAGTGCCGGGGGTCCTTTTAAAGTGATCTCTCCCCCTTGTTGGCCTACACAGGTTTTTTAAAAGTCGTACACTTTTTGTGGTACTTCAAACAACAGATTCACAATGAAAGTTTATTTGACCTGGAATTTTCTCACTGTATATACATTGGCTGCGAAAAACAAGAGAATGGAGTATAAAGACAGAGCTATGCATAAGTAAACTGAGTTGTTTGAAGTATCTTCTGTACAGGTTTTATGCACAAAATGCACTAGAAATTAGTCTGCAATTGCCTGAGCGCTGTGAAAATGGTGTAAAAATGTAATTGAAGCGCAAGAAAAAATGTGAAATTTCTATTAAAGCACCATTACAGTACCATTTCTTGTTATATTTGACGGTTATAAATAGCATTTTAATATTGTTTTTTTTTTGTCCTTTTTATTTTGAGGACTCTTCTCTATCAAAGCTGACTACCAACGAATACATGCAATTGGTATGTATGAGGTAGTTTTTCTTAGTCTTTTGCTTCAGGTACATCTTTGCCGGCTGCAAAGGATAATTAATTTCTTTTTTCCCCGCTTCATTTTGTTGTTTTGCTGATCAAGAAACAAACAGAATTTCCACCAGCTTTAATTCTGCTCATATGAACGCTATCACATGTCTTAATGATGTAATCAATACAAACCAGCGTTACAGGCCGCAGAATAGCATTACAATTACAGAATAGTCTGCTTTAAATGACAATTTACAAATATGACCGAGGTTTTCCATGGATTAAAACATGAATAGAAACTATAAAGCAGCTTTTCGAATACCTTCAGTTATTGAAATAAAAAGTGAAGGTCAACAAGTTGGAAAAATGGAATGTTGCATGGGAATCTTCTCCCTGCCTCACATGAGAAAGATTTATACTAATAAGCAATGGTTCATCATTTTCTTGAATGGCATTTCTTAATTTGTGTTGTGTTTGACTCATTCTCCTCTTAACTGTCATGGGGAGGGAGTGAGGGTGAGGGAGAATATTTAGTCTTTGAAAAGATTTTTGTAAAAAATAAAGGTCATAATGGATCTTGTTTCATGCATTTTCTCTCTCTCTCTCTCTCTTCATCTTCAGATTCCAATAATATCTGCAGAGCATCTGACTAGTCACAAGTACTTGACGCAGATGTAGTTCCAGTCCACAACAGTAAGTGATTTTTATTGAAATGTTCCAGAAACTGCCTGTCTGAGAAATTTAAATGTAATTGTTTGATTTAAAGCAAAACCTCACCCAGTTTTGGTCATTATTTACCCTCATGTCATTCCAAACCCATATGTGGCTATTTGTTTGAAAGAACATAAAAGGATAATTCTGAAAAAGTTATTTTCCATACAATGACTTCTATTATGTTTTTTTTGGGGGGGGAGGGGGGGGGGGGGTTACATTTTTGAAGATTACATATTAACTGTCACTCTATGGAAAATAACTTTCCAAAATTAAAATTTTACAACAAAATTCTAAATATTGTAAATAATGACAGCACTGTCATTGGTTAGATCACAAAAGCACAATTCTTAAGAAGTTCTTTTCCATGCAACTAGTTCATGACCATGTGTGTCAAGCTCCAAAAAGGAAACTAATGTGCAGGTTTCAGCCTGTTCATCACGCAAAGCTATTATAAGGCTTCAGAACACTTAATGCATCTTTACACAGCTTAGTTAAAGGGATAGTACGCCCAAAAATGAAAATTCTCATTTACATCATTTACTTACCCTCAAGTTGTTCCAAACCTGTATGAGTTTCTTTCTTCTGTTGAACACTAAAGAAGATCATTTGAAGAATGTTGGTAATCAAACAGTTGTTGGTAGCCATTGACTTTCATAGTATAGAAAAGAAAACTATGTTAGTCAATGGCTACCGTCAACTGTTTGGTTACAACATTCTCCAAAATATCTTCTATTCCTGCTCTGACACACCTCAGCCCATAGTATAACAGTACGTCATTAACAATGCTGTGTAAATGCATTCATGCCACCTCTGAGCAGCATTAAGCTGTGTAAGGACACCTAAATGCTTCTTCAGGTGCGTCTATGCCACCTTTGCAGTGTAAATTTGGTATTAGAATACAATGATAAAGTCACAGGAATTGCTTTAATGGCACTTTTTTAACTTGGCATTGTATGGAAAAGAATTCTTCAACATTCGAAATCATTTAAATAATGACAGAATTGTCACTTTAATACTTAAAGTTATGTTCTTAATATGTACTTTTTCTACTTTTCCTCAGATCACAGGAATGCGCTGTTGCCCCGGACAAAAGGCAAACAAACAAATTTCAAAATTTTAACGTCAAGATCACCTCCGGATAGAATATATGATAAAGATTAGAATTTGGTCATCCATGATGGTAGGGTTTTACTGGGGTGAAACTGAATGTCCTTCCACATGATGTGTAGAATTTGAGTGAACTACATCATTATGTCAGACAGGATGGCATTTTTACTCTCAAGCTGGATTAGTAGAAAAATTAATTTTCATGTCTGACTTAACACCGTTTTGGCATGTTAGTAGACCAAGAGATATTTTTTTGTGATTCACACCTTGATTTTCGTTCCTCGAAATTTTTCTGAAGGTTTACAAAAGTTACAAAAGGTGCACCTTGAATTGAAAAGCGAACCGAAAGCCGATACGGCACAAAACATCCAGCAAAATAATTCAATGTATGTAGTTTTCTCTATCTTTAGTTCTGGCTTCTAGTCAAACTAGATTGTAAGCGCAGAGTCGAGATTGACCGATGAATGTTTTGGGTAGAAACTGATCACCTGAGACCTTTCAGAAGCACATTCTTGCAAGCTTTATGTACCATAACCACCGGCTGAATACCAGACACCGATCTAGAGTGTTATATCAACAGTGTTATTACGTTTACCAGAGATTAATGTTTTTTACAGCGCTTGTTTTTATACATAATTTCACAAGTGTGTGGCTTTTTTATGAAACGTGCCATTTTTATTTGTCGATCATCCCATTAGGCCTTGTAGAACTATGAAGCCTTTTTGACTCCTATGAGAACAGGGTTGCCTTGTTCCTAATGCCCTGTTTCTTTATTGCCTTGATCGAGAGAATGTTGCGTTAGAGCGGAGAGGGTAATCGAGAGTCACGTGTGTCGTTAGGAGAACGTCATGGTAGCGTCGATTCAGCAGTCGCGCGCGGAAACGAGCGATTGCGTTCCAGTCTTCACCGTAACGGTGTGAGGACTCTAAAATTATGCTGGAAAAGCACTGCTTGAATATTTCGTGACAGATTGTGAGTTCGAGACTCGGTACACAGAAAGATGAGGTTAGTGTTGGGTCAGGGGTTGTCTTCAGTTCTCATCTGTGTTGATTTTGAGTTGTTTTCGAATATTTCATGACCCGCTGGATGATGTAAAAGAGGAACGGAGAATATAATGAGACGTTTTTAACATTAAGTTGTGCCAAAGTCTTTTTATTATTATTTTTATTATTTAAATGTGTTTTGACTGGGTATACTGATCACGGAAGGTGAATAATTTGTACAAGGCTGCTTGTAAATCAGGAAACAGACGCAAGGGTTTTAGTGTCACACAACCAGACTTGAGATGAAACGAATGAATCCGAGTTTCTCGGCTCAAGTTCACTTGAGTCTGGATTTCAGCCTGGTTTAGGTGCACAGACTTGAAAGGATGCACGCCATTGCCGTTTCCTCACTAAAGCCTTATATATCAGTGTTTGAACCCACACAAACATTCTTTCAATCACAAATGGTAAATTACAGCGGATGAGATTTTATTCTTTACACTTATTTTATGTGTATTTTAATCATGTTTCTCTTAACGTTCACTCTGTTTCAAAGCCTTTGTTAGAAATATGTGTTGTTTGCATATAAAGATTTTTTTTTTTTTGTATTTGACTATATTGTCATAGAACTGTTTTAGAATGTAGGAAATGAATTATTGTTTTTCTTACTGTCACTTTCTTTTACATCATGTTAAGTTCATAATGTTTATCTAGTAGTGTTGTATTCTTAATTCTTCATGTTAGTTTTCATGATAGAATGTTTGAATTTCAAGGATTTTGGTTTTGAATTTGTTGAACAAAATGTTTTATCTTGTCTTAAAAAAAGAGTGGAAACGACAGAAAGAGAGTTTATTTGTAGCTATGGTAAGGTTGATATTTTAACCCTTTATTTTGTGTCGAATCAAGACCACATCTACAATTAGCTGGTTAAAGTATCAATTGTACATGCTAGAGAAAAAGAAGTTATTTTCTACTGTATGCATTTCAGAATTGAAAATAGTCTTGTAATATTTCAACAACAACAAAAAAATCCCTCAATGTCAGGCCAAAATGAGCAGCAACTTGTCTCCCGAGATTTCTGAATATTTAAAGATGTAAAACAAAGGAGGGAGGTCACAGGGTCGGGCCTCGAGCTGCGAACGAGAGAGAGCCATAACTTAAGGGACGAAGGTTGACTTTTTGCACTTCTGTACATAGTCAATATAAAGAAAAGAAAAGGAACATGTATAATATTGAGATCTTATTTTGAATAATAAAAGATTCTATAACTATGAGAAATTTTCTTAGGATAATTTAACAATTAGAGTAATAGTCCAGCTAACAAATGATGCTTGCAGAAATATGGCACAGCTCTTTTATTATCATTTCCGGCCATCACGTAAAAAAAAAAAAAACAACAACATAAAGCTCCGCATTGCCTGCATACAGTACCGACACATACCGAGAGTCTCAAAAATTGGCAGTACACTCCGCCTCGTCATAATTTCCACTGTGGGGAATTCAGTTTTGTTTACAAATAGATACTACACCTTCAAAAACACAGTATTTGTCATATGATGGACATAAATAACTGCATGAAGAATAAAAATTAACAGAGTCAAATTCTCATAATAGATAAGTACGTAGATAAGTTCATTTCTCACAGTACCGTAACTATCATTGTTACAGCATAGTGTAAATCAAGTATCTCGATCGATATCTGAGCCTGAATTGAGGCACATTCATCGATAATCCATCTGAGTATAACCTTAAGAACAGTACAATTATTAAAAAGGCCTTCAAACCGACTCTAGATGCTAGCAAAAGATGTCCACTTAACACACGACAACAGAAGAGTTGCTTTGTTGCTTGGTAATGTGCCTTCAGCAGGGAAAGGACACCAACCACACACACACAACAAAAAAAACAAAAACAGAATGAATGTAACTGTCAAATCCTCCGCTGAGGTCAGCGTTTTACTCATTTGAGATTGCTGCACAAGAGCTATTAAACCAAAGCGTCACTTTCTTTCACTAAACGCAATGCCTAAAAGCTGGTCGGCCGTTGCAGACGGCGAAACCACAGGTGGTCCTGCCTGCTGAAAGCACTTGCTTGGATGCTTAACGCCCTCCATGGAATCTTACACCTGCCCTATGCTTATAGTTGCTGTAAGATATTGTGCTGCATTCTAAAAGACTTGTTTTATGCACATTTATTATTGTTAGAATTGACTCTTACTGTTATGAGTAAAAAAAACTTAATAAAACAAAATGGATTTGCTCAAAAGGTGTCTGTGTGGTGTAATTTGAAGTCAAACTATTTTGTGAGAGTAGTCAAGAATGAAGTTGTTGTTTTTACGAAGTTCTAATTTCCTAAACATTCATGATATGCTGATGGCTCCATGGGAGAGCACACTCAATCCAAAGCCATTTCACACTTTGAGGAGCCCTTAAAAAGGTCACTGGCAAAGTATCTTGTATATTAAAAGTGAAACATTCATGATCTATATGTTGCTTGCAAACATGCAGTCAGACTACTGAGATATTTTTGATTGAATGACTATCAATGGAGACAGATGCTCTTTGCTGTCAGATGATGTAGTTCAGGCATCTACCAGCAGAAGTCATGATAACATAATACGCTTGGGCTGTGACGGGTATGATGACTCCTCTGTTTTTAAAGCACATTTGCTGTTGAAATGTCCACTTGATATCAGTCTAGCCCTTACGAGCATAAAGAAGATGCACACAATTTTCAGTTGTATTTATTTATTCGTTTATTATTTTTTAATGGCATAAACACTGTCTATTGTTAACAGGACACCATAATCCAAAACATGTTTTTTTTCTTCACATGGTTTCTCCCCCGATTAAAACACTGAATATATGAATTCAGACATTAAGATCCATGTTGCAAAACAGGCCACCCCATCCCTCCTTACAAATGCACTGCCAGGGATGTTTGCAGGTGCCGTGTAGGCACCCTGGGTAAAGTAAGCACTCATCACAGCGGGGGCCCTGCCACCCGAGGAAGCACTTGCACTGACCGGGGGCCTCACAAAAAACATGTTCCTCACTACATCCAGATAAGCAGATAGCTGTTAAAAATGAGAGGGAGAGAAATCAGGAAATTAGAATAAATGTGCATCATATTCAAAAATACAAAAAGATTAAAAAAAAAAAAAAATATATATATATATATATATATGTGAACAACAACAAAAGTGAATTTTGCATCCGATGACCCTTTTAAACATCATCACGCCAAACAGGAACTCATACTAACCCGCTTTTACAGCCTCGTGTTCTTGCAGTTTTTGGATTAGTTTGTTTATCAATTCATAGTGTTTTTTCGATTGTGGTGTTTTCTCATTTGTAGTTCAATCAATTGTAGAATAACCAATTAATAGTGATTAATAATACATAATGCCTTCATCACCTGTAGAGACCTGTGACATGGCAAGATTCATGTTAATTGTTGACAGAATATAATTTATTTCAATAAAACTATTTTATGAGAATGTGTCAGTTTTTTACTTATGTATTTTTTAACATTTGAAGATACTGCTTGCTATAGTGCATTTATTTCTCTCTGATCAGCTCCCAGTTAAAAAATAGAAAACAAAATAAAATAAAATAAAAAAACAGGAGAAAATATATAAAGAAAACAAACTTGAAAAAATAGTTACTGTTGGGAAAATAACTTTGCTGATGCTATTGGTCATCATTTATTGATGTTATTATTATAATAATTTTAAGTGATTAACAGTTAACAGTTTTTTATATATGAATTCAGTTGAACACATTCAACACGTATAACTAATTATTATAATTTATTCCTCCCTCCCTGACTTTACCGACACTTCATAGACTTTGTCCCTCATGCTAGCCCTGACAACTCCGCTAAGTAGACTAGCATGTAGGCTGCAACACTCTACATGCCCAGACTTATAATGATTCTCGCCCCTCTCTATGCTCTTTTTATCATCTGTGAAAAAAGGACATGAGGCTGGAAATTGACAGATAGCTAGGTTTCAAAGAAGTTTACGCTTCAGAGAAGGTAAGCGCGCGCGCTAAGCAGGGATATGCATGTGCGCCATACAATCATTCAAATATGCATTATGATAATAATCTGAAGGCACAATTATAAAAACATGTATTTTTAAACGTTCATAACAACTGTAAAGCAAAATAAAAATTATTTATTACACAAAGGAAAATTATCTAAAAGAGCACGTATAAACATGTTTTTGTTTTTTAATATAATGTAATGTGGATTAAAATTAATTCACAGAGTAAATAATTATCATGGAAAATGTTTCTAAAAATAAGTTTAAAAGTTGTGGGAAGCATGGTGGTGGTGACCTTGAAGGCGAGCAACCATGTGCTGTAGTTCGCTTATAGCCTAATGTTAGCTTTTTAGTTCTGGCGCTTGTATTTAGGCTTCAAAATTCATAAAAGTTATATTATTTTGTGAAGATTATCTCGATGGACAAAACGTGTAAGTTTCATGAGCTATGGTTGAACACAGAGCTTATTTTTTGCGATAATCCAAAAGCCTATGGAAAATACTTTTTGTCAAGGGAACCAGTGTGATGCTAACAGCCGATCCGCCTACAAAGTGACGCCATAGTTCCGCAACTCTATTTGAAAGATGAATTAGACACGCCCACCAAAGATGCGTGCAATGCTTGGGTGACCCTCATAATCTGAGGTGAATCACGGGAGCATAAGTGCCTCATTTTAGTGTCACAGGTAAGAATAACTAACTTCACTTTAGTAGTGTTACGTATGACACAGGGGCTTCAATGCATGTGTCAAGAACACAGCGCAATTTTCACTAAAGTTCCGTATATTTCAGAGAATCACGTGATTACAGACAAACGAAGCTTGGCTTTCTGTCCAGTATATCACTTGCACGCTTCGTTTGGCTTGTAGTAATGTAGGTTATAAATCCAGAGATAACTTTCTCTACTTTTGTCTTATTTATTTTTGGTCTTTTTGTGGCTTGATATTAGGGCTGCAACAACTAATCGATAAAATCGATTATTATCGATAATGAAAATCATCGACAACGATTCTCATTATCGATTAGTCGGGTCTGCCCTCAGTGCACGTCCAATTCAGCCGGTCGCATCAAATTACAGCACTGAATAACGCATTTCTATTAGGGCTGCACAATAAATCGCATGGGATATTTAACGCGCATCTTGTCAGAAAGCCGGTTCTGTAATCAGCGGTAAATCTCCATCTGACGAGCTGCGCAAAAAATCGCGCGAATATGAACGTGGTTTTGCGCAGCTTGTCAGTGAACAACGGCTCTGTGTAGTTAATGCTGCTCAATGTGAAAGCACGCACGTGATGGAGATTTACCGCTGATTACAGAACCGGCTTTTCTGACAAGATGCACGTTAAATATCGCATGCGATTTATCGTGCAGCCCTAGTGAACAACGGCTCTGTGTAGTTAATGCGGCTCAATGTGAAAGCACGCACGTGATGGAGATTTACCGCTGATTACAGAACCGGCTTTTCTGACAAGATGCACGTTAAATATCGCATGCGATTTATCGTGCAGCCCTAATTTCTATGGACAAAATGCATCTAAAAACAGTGGAGGAAGCAGAATGAGCACCTGCAGGAAAAGTACGTGATCCAACCTGCCCAAAACATGAGAAATCTTTATTTTAAGCTTCAAGCTGATGCATTACCGTAATGGCTTGCCCTGTCAGGCGCTTTGACAGATACGTGTGTGCGTCCTCAGCGCAAAAAACTTTCAGTTAAAGGTCATATCCTTATCTGTAAATGTCACAAATTCACGCGAGCCTTTCCATTTTTGCATAAAGGCCCGCCCTGACAGTCTGCGTTACGTTGAAATCTTTACTGAAAGAGCGCCAGCGCGGCGGGCACGTGGCTTAAAGGGGTCATATGACGTTGCTAAAAAGAACATTATTTGGTGTATTTGGTGTAATGCAATGTGTTTATGCGGTTTAAGGTTAATAAAACATTATTTTCCACATAATGTACACTATTGTTGCTCCTCTATGCCCCGCCTTTCTGAAAGGTGTCGATTTTTACAAAGCTCATCGTTCTAAAAAAGCGAGGTGTGCTCTGATTGGCCAGCTATCCAACGCGTTGTGATTGGCCGAATACCTCAAGCGTGTGACGAAAATGTTACGCCCCTCACATACTGTTGATGCCGTGTCAGGCCGGAGCGATGATTCAAAAACATGAAAACCCATTATAAACGAGGCATTCGTTGCATCCAGTGGGGACATAATTACGGATTATAATAACTTATACTGTCTTTTTACGCGTTGCGTATCGCGCTGCGTAAACATAAAACCATGTCTGCATTTGTGATCGGAGAAATGACAAACAAAAAGCACTACTCTACACTGC